CAAGCCAGCTAGTTGGCGTCTTCTCTAGGCAACTGGGTGAATTTGATTTGATCAAAGCCTTTTGCTTCCTGCATAACAGCAAAACGATAGGCCTCCGTTGTTCTGTCTTTCATGTTGTACTCCCCAGTCACCTGTCTCACAACCGAGAGTCGCTGAAAGCGTTCAAGTTTTTGACCTTCAATTCTTTAGCAAGTCTCATCCCTGCTAACAATGCTTCATACTCTGCCTCATTATTGGTTGCTTTGAATTCAAGTCTAATCGCTTGACACAACGTCGTAGCCTCAGGGGTCTGTAGCTTGATTCCTACACCTGCTCCCATCTGGTTAGATGATCCATCCAGGAAGAGTTTCCATGACTGATTCTCGAGGACCTCCTCCTCATCTTCTATATCACATTCCAGCCACTGCCTGGCCCTTTATGGCTGTTCGGGGTTCATATGTTATATCAAATGAGCTCAATTCAATCGCCCATTTTGTCAATCTTCCTGACAGGTCTGGCTTGTGTAGGATGACCTTTATCGGAAAGGTGGTAAGAATAACAATGGGATGAGATTCAAAATAATGTCTGAACTTCCTCGTAGCATTCACCAATGATAAGATCACCCGTTCGGCCTTCGAGTATCTTTTCTCTGGATCAGTCATCGTTTTACTTGCATAGAATACCGGATACTGCTTTCTTTCTTCATCTAGAATCAGAACAACGCTTGTTGCTATGCTTGACACTCTGAGGTACAAAAAGAGTTTCTCGCCTTGCTTTGGGGCAAACAGGATTGGTGGGTTCTGCATATACTTTGGATAGGCTTTGTTTAGATTGGTGAAGTCAATACAGACTCTCCATTTCCCATTTTTCTTCTGGATAACCACCACGTTTGAAAGCCAAGACGGATATTGAACTTCCCTGATGAATCTTGCCTCGAGCAATCTGTCAACCTCATCAGCTATGATTTGATTGCGTTCTGGTGCAAACCTCCTTTGCTTTTGCCTTACAGGTTTGATGTTCAGATAAACGTTGAGGGAGTGACAGGACACAAAAGGATTGACACCTGGCATATCCAAGTGACTCCAAGTAAACACATCTGCATTCCTGGTCAGAAACTTAACCATCAATTGCTTCTCTTCCGTGGTGAGCCTGGATCCTATTTTCGTCGTTCTTTTCGGTATTAGAGGGTCGACCTGCACATCCTCGAGCGGTTCTTCAGTAAGTACTAAAAGCTCTACCTCCTCCCTAACTTCCTTGGGTGGAGGTTCCTGTAATTGCTATCTTGGGCTTGCAGAACGAGCGATCGCCTTGCCCTTCTCGCTGGCCTTGAGAGTCACCGAATAACATTCCTTCGCTACAACTTGATCACCATCAATGTCGATCACTTCGTTCGCGTTCAGACTTAGGCACCTCATAACTTAGTGCAAGGTCAATGGGACTCCTTAAACTCGATGGATCCACTCTCTTCCCATCAAGAGGTTATAGGATGGGTGGATGTCTACAACAATAAAGCTTTCCATTAACTCTCTTTTTGTAGCAATCACAGGCAATTGAACAACTCCAATTGGCTCCACTCGTTTCCCATCAAACCCTAGCAATGGATTTCCTGTGGTCCTGAGCTTCTTTTGAATCAATCCCCAGCTGTTCAAACGCCACCTTTGTCATGATGTTTGCGTTGCTCCTTGGGTCAACCAGGACCCTTCGAAACAAACAATCTGTGACCAACAGGCTTATGACCAATGGATCCTCATGCGGAGTTTGAATCTGCAAGAGGTCAGATCTGTCAAATCTTATTTGAGCTAAACTCTTTTCTTGTTGCACTGTGTTGACACTGCTCACCCTCTTCAGCGTGCTAGCTTGCCGAAGGCGTGTTCGGCGTAATTCCTCAGATTCCTCCGATGCCTCGGGCCATGGATTGCATCTATAATCCAGACTGGTTGAGCGTTATGATAGTTCGGCTTCTGGTTTCTTTTTACCTGCTCTGCAGGGCAGTTTTGCTCTGTTGTCGGTCCTTGGACATTGCTGGCGAACTCCCCCTTTGCTATCAGCATTTCTACTTGCCTTCTCAAATTTCTACATTCATTGGTCAAATGTCCGAAATCACTGTGGAATGCACAATGCTTGGACTGATCCCTCTGTTCAAGCGGTTGTCTAATTAGCTGAGGCGGACGGAACATGTTCTTAGTCTCTTGATTCAGCTTTGCCAGAGTGGTCCTGAGCGGAGTCACTAGATCTTCCTCCCTTGGCCTTTTCCCTGCTTTCCAAAGGATCGGATCTCTTGGTTGTGGCGGCATAGACGGCCTCAGATTCACCTTCACCTTAGATCTTTCTCCCACCGCTATCATTGTTGCTTTTCTTGAATTGGCCGCTTCCTCCTCCTTCTCCTCCAGACAAACAAAACCTTCGGACCTCTCATTCAGCTCGTCCATAGTTTTTGGTATATTCACCACCAAATTCGTATAGAACGGAGTCCCTTAGTTCATAGCAAGCTTGAATGCCTGCACTGGTGTGGAGGGGTGACATTCAATCACCATGCTCTTCTCGAGATTGAACCGAGTGAGGAAGGCTTGGAGGCGCTCTCCCTCCTGCTGTTTCATGGTAAACAAGCAAGATATGTCCCTGGCCAGACGTTGTTACCGTAGTACTGACTTATGAATTTATCACAGAGATCTCTGAAGCTATCCACCGATCCTCTCTGCAAATGCTAGAACCAGTTCAGTGCAGGTCCAGTGAGGCTCGTAGGGAAGACCTTGCACATCAGTGCGTCATCCCTTGTGTTTAAGGCCATCTTCAACTGGATATGGTAAGCATGTTCAACCAAATCCTTCGTTCCGTCAAACAAAGTGAAAACCGACATGGAGAACTTCCTTGGATTCGGAGCATTCAAGATCTCATCCGTGAACGGCGAGTCAGCAGTCCGAGCCGATGTGTGGAGGGCTTCATTATCTTTTGGAAGCACTTTCTGTTCAACCTGCGTTTTACCTGCATTTCTATGGTCACAATTGATCATCGGTGACTGATACATTGTGTCGAATGATCTGTCCGCAGTTGATTCCCTCCACCATAACGGATCGGTTTCGTGTCGAACTCCATCTCCCACCTATACCTTTCAGGATTCGGATCCACATGAACAGATCCTTCTCGATCTGCCTGTTGGTAGATATTCGGCAGCACTACCTCTGGCCTGATTCCTTCACGATGTGGATCCGAATATGCAGATCCTTCTTGATCTATCCGACGGTTGTCATTTGATAGCATCGCCCTCTTGTCTACCGGAGGCAGTGGTCGTGGAATTGGCGGAACATCCTGTCGTTCCATTCCAGCTCTCAGTTCCGCATTTTCTCGCCTCAAGATCTCAATCATGTTCATCAGTTCATCGAGTTTTGACTGCTGCTCATTCTCTTGCTGGTGAGAACTTTCCCCTTCGATCATAGTTCCTGAACGGAGCGGAGTCAGTCAATTCTCAAAATCAACTTATCCTAACTTTCTTTGCTTCAAATTGATCAGATCTAGCTTCGGTGCGTTCGGATCTTCTTTTTCACCAATAAAATCTGTCTTCTCACCAATCGGATCTGGTTCTTCTCCAATCAGATCTGGCTTTTTGCTGACTAGATCTGACCGTCCTCCGGTCGGATCTGGTTCTTTTCCGATCAAATCTGAATCTCCTCCGATCAGATCCGATTCTCCTCAGATTAGATATGAATCAACTCCGATTAGATCTGAATCTCCTCAGATTTGACCTGAATCAACTCCGATCGGACCTGAATCTCCTGAAATTCAACCAGTTCGCATCAACATACACAAGAATTGATTGAATCGCTATTGTAGTAACCGAAAATTCTCTCTATTTCTGGAAAGATATTTTACAGTTCAAACAAATTTTCAACCTCTTTTCCCTCTATTTTTCTACTATTTATAGAGATTCACAAGTCTTCTAGAACCTTCCTCTTTCATCCTCCATGCTGGGCCGATCCCTTGGGCTTTTCTTTGGATATGGATTCATTTCCTCCCCTTTGATATTGGGCCTGGAGATCATCTTAGTGAGGAATGGGCCCGCTGGGCTGTCATCCGATTGTGCCAGTAGCTCTCTCCGGATCCGGCTTTCAGTGGGGTGGGTTGCACCCGGCCGAACTCATTTTTGGTATCTTCACACTATGATGAGATGTTGGAATATGGGATGAATATATTTCTAGGATGCTAGAGGAGGACAATCGAGAACAAGATGACAAAAAGATATGTAAGATGACTGAACCATGTGCCCTGAAGATGAGCAAGTAAGCCTATGAGAAAGATTCACCTGGTTCAAATCAAGTGAGCTATAAGGAAAAGGAGGGAAAGAGAGGAGTAGAATGCAGGTCGGGCAGGAGCATAAAATGATAGCTTATTGTCACGGACACAGAGACATGTTCCAAGCGTCCCATGTCTGGTGTGCATTGAGTGGCCCTAAGCTTCTTAAATGGGTTTGGGAATTCCCACAAGTCACTGGTCCTTTTGGGTGTGGAACCTGCCCATCATAACATTATGCTTTAATGGAAAATACGGCCCTGCCCTAGATAAAGCAGCTTGGTGAAAGGATTCACGTAGCCAATCCCAAGTATTTGGGACTTGATGCCTTGTGAATAGAGTCTGAAATGAACGAGTATTCTCATTCCTAACTAATAGAAAATGAGCTTTTGATAATTCAGAAGCATGCATTGGTGGTGCTATTTCTGAAATGTATAATTTTTGAAGCACAAATTTGGAAAGAAGTATGGAAATTAAAAAATTATGAACAAAACCCAAACTCAGTTCACATTTGCTCTGGAAGATTGTTATTTTGCTTTTGGCGCATGGCAGCAGGCTTACTCCGCTCTAAAGCTTCTAATAATTATATTTTTTATTAGAATGTGAAATATTTATAACTATTTCAATTGTAAAATGTCTTCATAATCTTATTTGTGTGTCCTTTTAGCCAGACAAGATTCCTCGAACTATTTATTGCGAGTGATATGTGTGTGTTTTAACATCTTGTTATTGAGCAGGTCAAAGAGGCAATGCGACCAGACCCTTTCACCAGGGACAGATGCTGGATGCAAAAGTGGGATTAGAGAGACAAGGCAACAAAAAAATGAGACTCCAGTCCCATGAGCAAGACATGGAAATTAGTTGTGAGGACAAACCTTTGCCATTGACTTTTGAAGGTCTTGAGCGGAAATTCCGGGGTGAAATTATGAAACTGATGAAGGAACAGTGTGATGCAGAAGATTTAGAAAATGCTAGGCACAGAGAGGTCGGTGCGTGGTATAATAATTGCTTTTCCTTGAATAACACCTGTCATTTTTTCCATGACTGGTTATGATGAAAATTTGCTCTCTTAAAATGGTTAAAATACTTTCCGACAGGATGGACATGGTTTGGAAATAAAAATGTTACACATTTTCTCCTTCTGTCCCCTTCTTTTCCTCCTTCCCTTCCATAGAAATAGATGACAAGAAAAGTAGTGAGAAACACAATTTCAAAGTGAGCTGATCTTCCAATTCCCGAATTTTCTAACGTTTTTTTACTTCTGTTTTTCAGAAAATAAATAATATTAAAACCCGATATGGGCAGAAACTATCGTCACTCCAGGACAAACAAGCCAATCATAGCCAGGATGAAATTGTGAAGCTGATGAAGGAACAGTGTGATGCAGAAGATGCAGAAAATGCTAGGCACAGGGAGGTCGGTGCATAGTATAATTATTGCTTTTCCTTGACTAACACCTGTCATTTTCTTATTCATGAATTGTTTATGATGAAAATTTGCTCTCTTAAAATGGTTAAAATACTTTCCAGCAGGATGGACATGGTTTGGAAATAAAAATTCATAACACATTTTCTCCTTTTGTCCCCTTGTTTTCCTCCTCCTTCCCTTCCATAGAAATAGGTGACAAAAAAGGAGTAGTGAGAAACACAATTTCAAGGTGAGCTGATCTTCCAATACCCGAATTTTCTAACTTGTTTTTACTTATGTTTTTCAGAAAATAAATGAGATTAATACCCTATATCGGGAGAAACTACCATCGCACCGAACCAAACAAGCCAATCGTAGAGAAGAGTTGCTGCACAAGGAATTGCAGACACAGCAACACCAATATCAGCAAGCTGAAATGGACCACCACCTGACCAACACGGCCCAGTGGGACCCTTATGATTATGGTGGGGCTGCAGTGGCAGAAGCACAAGCGCATAAAGCGTATTCCGATGATCTTTGCAACAATACTGGTCCCTGTGCTTGCTATCAGACATTTGAGTGAAACCCTATCCCTTGGTCAGACATTTTACTGATCTCATCTTTTGCTTTAGTTGATGTTCATGGACTAGATATGCAGCAGTCAACTGAATATGAACCATCAATTTCAAAACTGGCTGTAAATGGCCATAATATATAGTTCCTCGCATTTTTAGGTCCAGAATGAACCCCCTTTCTTTTGCCTAGTCTATTATTTTCGTGTTGAAGTTGCAAATCTTTTCAACCCATGAGACGGAATTGGTTCAGTGTCAAGATCAGATATTTCTAAACATTAGATTCTTTGGTGTATGATGCGATTCTAAATCTTCTTGTGGTGGCATACTGGCATGTAATTTAATGAGTCATGACAATACATATATATATATATATATATATATTTCATAGTTACACAGATTTATATATATATTTGTATATATATATATGTGTATGTGTGTGTGTTTGTATATATAATTATAATCATAAATCTTATGGTGGCATGTCTTACTGTATTTCACGAGTTGAGTCTTGTGACGCCTTTAATTTCCCCAAAAAAATTCAAAAGTAATGAGGGGAGATATTTACATGATGTTCTATTTGGTTTTATATGTAGCACTGACAGTTGGTGCGTGCGTAGACTTCATTTTGTGGAAGAGTTGAATGATTTTACCTTTGCATTGAGAGAGAGTTGGAACTTACCCAATCATATGTTCTCAAGTGCATATACGGTTGAACTGAAAAGGATTACTGAAGTTTAAAGGCAATTTATAAACAGAGTAATTTATATGTTTTTTTGTTAGAATTTGAGAGCTAAACTCCAATTTTCTCATATTGTACTGGTGAAAGCTTCATTGCTCTATTGGTACCAAGATTGTTAAGAACCAGTCTGATTTCACCGATTGCCAGACAAATATTGATAGCAAAACAGCACAAGTTGGTAATATAAGTAATGCCATGCCCAAATAATGCACAACTATGATGTCCTTACTTCCGAGTGAAAGCACCAACATGTAATGCAACAAAGAAACTCACCCCATGGTGCTATGTCAGTGTAGAATCACTCAGTGCAACAACATTTACCACATTTACAGCATGCAAAAGCCTAAGAATAAAATATTTACCACCACTCCCAAGGGGGTGAAAAGAAGCATTTGAAAAATAAAATGCAAAATCAATGATAAAATGTAGACCAAAAAAGACGACTTCGTCCATACATGACAAATATTTGCAGGAACGGATCAATATATCAACTATGTTGGGGTCCCAATCCAAGTGTGAACCAATTTGTACTCCCTCAACATATGATACAATACCACAAACATAAAGACTACAATGATCATTTTCAAAAAAATCAATTAAGAACTTTAAAATAACAATACCAATGAGCCAGTGACCTAGCAGTATCAGCCTCTTACTTTTCAAAGGGAGGTCAGGGGTTCAAGCACAATACCATGCAGTATGCAAAAGAGGAACATCATGGAGATTATTATAATCATTCCAACAGCATACCCACTAATATAAGTTACTTTGTTACCACAAAATGGAATTGGAAAGATAATTGACAATCCAATCGTGAAAATACGAAGGTGGTAGATGTGTATCCTTAGAGAGTAGGGCAAAATAAAACACAAGAACGATGACAATCAGAAGAAATGTTTCTAAAAAAGATTCATATAATTTCTTCTTATGATACACGAAACAAGGTCAATAGTACAATTACCCAACACAACCCTATGAATTATTGCAACAACTAGTAATACAGTACAAAAACATCAACGGGTTCACTACAAAAGACATCCAAAATTGTGACATTTTATGCCTCCATTACAAAGAAAATTTGTGGAGGAGCAAACAGAATTACCAAAATTCGGAAGAACCTGATGTACATTTGCCAGCACAACGAATTTCCAAGTGGCTGACAGAAACAGTGAATCTGGCTGCTAATTTCTCGTCAAATACAATTTTCATATCAACCAATATTACCATGGCCTCCACCAAGAAAACTAGTTAGTGTGAGGTTCAATGCCTTCATTTCTTCCTAGGATTGCACTTAACTCTTACCATCCTTCGATTAGACTTATAACCAGTGCCCAACAAGAAACTCCCTCCAGCACTGAAATCTAAACTTCCAGATGCCAAAACGGAGATGGACTCTGTGGATTAGCTTGATTCTGTTGACCACCAAATTGAAAAGGAAGTGTTGCTGATGGGGTTGATGAACCAAACATGAGGCCAGATGGAGGTGAGACAGGTGTGGATGCTTGTACAGGGTCCTCAGCCATGCTGTCCTCCATGTTCATCTGATCGCTATTACCTGAGCCGGCTGTGAAGACCGAACTATTGTTTGGGAGAAGGATGTCAAAGAAGAGGTATTAGAAGTAGCTGTAGTGAAAGAGAGAATAGAACCCAACGATGCACCAGTAAATGATCCAAATACCATTGAGGGAGCATTGTCTGGCAGCAACAGAAGCTGGGGATGCTCCAAAGGAGAACCCAGTTGATGGAGAAGGAGAATTAAATAGAGAACTGCTAGATGATGCCCTGAAGATGGGAGACTTGATGGGCTGCCAATTGGAACCAAACAAGCTAGGTGTAGCACCACTACTAGAGCTGGCCTCGGAAGATGTAGCTGCAGAGCTCAGACCAAAACTACTGCCTGAACTGAACAGTTTAGCAGCAGAAAGATGAACTGAATAGAGTGTAGACACTAAAATTTAGTGGGCTTTGGTTTTAACGAATGGACCCATTAAATATAGGCCTAATGTTTAAATAAATTATTTTACCAGGCTTAGTCCACTTAAATTATTTAATTAGCCCAGCCCAGCTAATTAAATGAATCGATAATTATTCCTAATAAAATATATTTTGAATAATTATCTTTAGGCCCGGCCCAGTTATAGTTTTTTTCCTTATCAGGAGATGACACGTGTCATCATCCTATTAATCCAAGAAGCCTATAAATAGAGGCTTGGAGGAAGAAAAAGGGGGAGGATTCAGAATTCAGAAGTCTACAAATTCAGACACAAATTCAGAATTCAGAAGTTCAGAGACTCAGAAATCCAGAGACTCAGAATTCAGACATAAATTCAGAATCGAAACCCAAAAGCGAAGAACATCAAGCACATCCAACAACGTGCCGTTCTTCATCAAATTCCACAGTGATTCAAGAACAAGCTCGTGCAGCCCTTGGATCCAATCAACCAAAAACAAGGAGATCGAATCAGAGGACCATTTTTTTTTTGTAAAAGATATTACAAAGGACTGTACTCCACATTCATAAATTAATAAAATTCTATTTGCTCCATATTTTGTTTCTATTGCAGACTTACAAAATTTGTGTGTACAAATTTGTGGCACGCCCGGTGGGACCACCTTTGCCTCTCATTTCTTTCTCCTACCATCAAGTTTCTTCTCTATCAGATTCTATGGCTCCCCCTAAGATTCAGACAGACAAGAAAGCCCAAAAGAACATCGCTATTGCAAAGGTCGATGCTAAAGCCACCATGAAAAGTGGCACGAAGACCAAATTAAGTGATGGAAGTACCTTGACGGACCCTGTGACACGTAGCAAGTCCCAGGCGATGGCGTCATTCAAACTTCAGCAAGATGTGGTGAAAACTAATCCTGCAACACCGGCGAATGTGAAAACTCAACATGTCAAAAACCTTGACATTGTTCCAGAGGAGGCTCCACCACCAGATTCACTTCGTTCTATCTATGATGCTCACTCTAGTGTCGATTCACCCCCAGAGTCACCACGTTAGACTTCGGAGCAATCAATCACTTCAAGGAACGTGGATTCTCAAGGCCTATCATACTCAGATGTGGTTGCTACTATGATGACTGGAGCTGCTACGGTGGAGGAACAACTAGCAACTATGGCTCATTCCATTGAGAACCTCACAAAGACTATTGAAGAAAAGGACTTGCAAATCGCTACACTAATGAATAAATTGGAAGTTCAGACCTTCGGTGAAACACCAATGCCATCCGGGAATCGTGCAGCTTTCACATCACCACCGTCTGGGAAACCTACATCTTCCACAGCAATACTAACGGAGAATCCTAATTCTACAGCACAAGGTACTCACAGGGAGAATCCCAAACAGACGCCGGTGACAGAACAAGCGACCAGTCAAAACCAGACGCCGGTGACAGAACAAGCGACCAGTCAAAATCAGACGCCGGGGATAGAACAGGCGACTGGTCAAACCAATCATACCTCTTCTTCAGTCTCTTCATTATCTGTCGAACAATTGCAAGATATGATAACGAATACAATCCGAGCTCAATATGGTGGTGTCTCACAGAGCACTCTCATGTACTCAAAGCCCTATACAAGGAGAATCGACAGTATGAGAATGCATGTAGGATACCAACCTCCGAAGATTCAGCAATTTGACGGAAAAGGTAACCCCAAGCAACACATTGCCCATTTTGTCGAGACTTGTAACAATGCCGGAACAGAGGGGGACTTACTAGTCAAACAGTTTGTCCGGTCCCTTAAAGGAAACGCGTTCGAGTGGTACACTGACCTAAAGTCAGAATCAATTGATAGTTGGGACCAGATGGAACGAGAATTCTTGAACAAGTTCTATAGCCCTCGTCGTACTGTTAGTATGATAGAGTTGACTAACACGAAGCAATGGAAGGATGAGCCCTCAGTCTTGACTGCAAGGACCGTTTGTCAGAAGTATCTGCTGTGGAGATGTGTATGCAGGGAATGCATTGGGGCTTGCTCTGCATTCTGTAAGGCATAAAACCTCGCACATTTGAGGAATTGGCTACGCGTGCCCATGACATGGAGATCAGTATGAAATCCCATGACGGCAAAAGTCCCGTGACTATAGAACCACGCAAAGATAAGAAGGACTGGAAGAAGGGCGACAAGTCATCAAAAAATGCGGCTAAAGATTCAATGGCTATCTCAACCACCCCAATCAAGATATCTGTTAAAGATGACAAGAAGGATGATAAAAAGCCTCGCCAGTTTCAAGAGAGGGAGAGACAGCGTCCTACGCTAAAGGAGTTAGAGAAGAAAGAATACCCCTTCCCCGATTCCGATGTTCCTGGCATCTTGGAATGTTTACTTGAAAGTAAAGTTATAAAACTCCCTGAATGCAAACGTCCTCCAGAGATGGGACGTATCAACGATCCAAAATACTGCAAATATCATCGCATTATCAGTCATCCAATTGAGAAGTGTTTTATCTTCAAGGAGGTGGTGATGAATCTGGCAAAACAAGGAAAAATCTTGTTGGATATAGACGAAGTTGTAACTTCAAATCATACTACTGCTACTTTGACAACCTCTGTCATGGGGAGTGCTCGTTTTCAACCTTTAACTTCGGAGGTATCTTGCACAACTATCCAGTTTGGTTCCTTGGAACCAATCCCAATCTATATTGGCC